TGCATCACAACCTTAACAGCATTAAAGAAAGAAAAGAGAAAATTATTACTGCAACGCATTATCAAATGGCTTCCAAGTCAGACAAAAAAAAATATTAAGAGCTGAAATAGTGTAGCAATGATGCTTTTTCTTCCCTTTTTTTTTTGTTTTTCTCTTCCTTCCCCCCTTCGCTCTCTTTCTTTTTGCGTTCCTTTACTTTATGTCCTTCCCTCTTGTCATAGAAACAAAAAAAACAGCTCTCAGATACGACGTCGTTTATATTCAYTTGTTTCTTTTGCCTGACTCGGATTGCGGCTAAGGACAAAAATGATGCAACATCAGCAGTTAACTTGACTTTTACAGTAGAAGCCAAGCAAATATAATACTAATAAACTTAATTTTTCACAAGTTAAACAACTTTGTGCAGCATTTTTTCATTTGCATTATTAATTTGCATGCTGAGGCTCTTGCATTTTAGTAATAAGCGAAAAGTAAAAAGAAAAAAGAAAATAATAATAATAACAATAACAAAACGAAACAGAGAAGTGTCAAAACTGAAAAACAGAAAACAGGAACTACAAATACAAACAATCAAACTAACAAAACGACAACAGAAGGTAAAGACAAGCAAGACAAGGTCATGTTTGAATGTAACGAAAGTTCTGTGTATTGGGAATTCAGGTTGATTTATTGTTAAATGTTAGTCTTTAAGTCTCTGTTAGTTAAATGATATTTTAAAGCATTAATTCCCAAGCAACAACCATGCTAGGATACGATCAGTTTAACAAACAAGATTAGTGCTTTATGAATGAAATGTTCGTTAACTTACACTTTGTCTGTTTTTTCCATACTATTTTAGTTTTTAAGCACCATGCCATATACAAGGTAAAATTAATGCTAGTTATTATTTATTTCAAAATATTCCCAACCCTCTCTCTCTCCAAACGACATCCCCTAATAAACTGTATGAAATATAAGTTTTCTGTTATTCTATTGAATTTACAATGGTTTACTTTGAAAACTCAAATTAATGATACCTAAACGCAAGAACGTTGTTGTTATATAAAGATTTATTAAATGGTAGAATAATATGATTTCTCCGACGAATCGCAACATGGCAGTACAAAACTTATTTTAAGTTTCAAAAAACTTTAAATCGAAGGACTTGGAATGAATACTGCATATCTTAATAACACTATTCTACTTTTCTCTTCTTAATTCCAATTTGTTATTCAGTTTTATTTTTATATGATAACGTTCTAGCAATAAGATGTTTTTAGATATATTTATAAGCTAATATGTTTTCGATAGAGATAATCAGTGTTTCCCATTTCATCCCATACGTCATTCCCTTTAGTACCATTTCTTTTCCTTGCCAGCAAAGATTTCCAAATTGCAATATTGATATAGCTTAAATAAATATTTCTATTCTTAAGGGCACTTGGTCTGGATTGCAAAAAA